CTTGTGTACGGCAGTGTTTATAATAGAATGTCACTTTAAGGAGATCAGGATTAAATGAGATGATAAATAATGTCCATTTCTCAGTTCACATCAAGGACTCAATGAAGGCCAACTGTTATAGTTGTGTTAATACTGATGCTCTTTGTCCCCACAAAATCCTTAAGACCTCAACTCAGTAGCTGTCTAAAATTTTGCCAGATTCTGTATACAAAAACGTTAGACCAAGGGCAGGTGAGAAGGGGACTACTTTAGTCTGAACTGCCACGAAAGGCCGCTTCAAAGAAGTGACATTTGAGCAGAGCCAACAAGATATGAAAGGGTCTTGCAGAGATCTGAGGATAGCGTCTGAGGCTGAATGAACTGTAAAGGTGAAGGCTGAGGGATGAGAAAGAACTCTGAGTGATCATATTCGTGTGTCTGAAGGGCTGAGCCAGGGAGGAAAGGAAGGAAAGGAGGACAGAGGTGGTCAGCCATAGTGGACCGGGTAGGGACATGCAGGCCATGGCTGAGTTCGGATTATGTGTGTGACAAGAGTCCCTGGAGCGGAACTTCCTTTATCCTTCAACCAATTATTGAGCACCTATCAGAGGCCTGACACTTTTGGCGGTGGAAAGCTGCAGAAGGGCTAAAAGTGGGGCATCGTATGTGATTGGTTAGGCTGAGCACGTATGGCTTTCTCTGCTTGGTCCTCTGCTGGAAGCGGAGGCAAAAATTAGAACAGTCAGTTACTAAATCAAGTCCTATTTGGGGCCTACTGTTCCAGGAGTTACCGTTTAGCTTCCTGAAATGTCACCAGAGAGTAAACTAGCTCCTTGCAAGACTAAGTTAAGGCACACTGGTTTCCAGAGTTGTTTAATGTAGAACAAGAGGTTGGTTTCCTGGGCAGGTGGCTACAAAAAATTGTACGTCACGGTCCTATAATCTATGTATAGTCTGGCTACTGTCCGCTTGAATATTCAGTCTCTCAGGTACTACCACGACAGAAGATAAACTAAGTGACGAGCATGCTCCACGTTTCGTAAACAAACAACACTACAAAGAGGAATCCTGTGGCTGTCTTGGCTTCCGGCCTGCCCAGGAGGCTTCCCCGAACTAGCAGAAAAGCAGCAAGGCCGAAAGCTCGTCCACTCACCTGCGCCGGGTCCGTCAAAGCCGTCGCCATACTGGGACCCTGAGGCCCGAGCGGGGCGGGGGCTGCGGCGAGCAGGGCGGGTCTCGCGGGCTCAGCCGAGCCCCACCCCTTCCCTGCGCCGGGCGCGGTGACCTTGGCTGACAGTCGAACTCTCCCGTTACGGGGAGGCTCACGGTTCGCTCCGAGACGCGGAGGTCGCTGTCGGCCTCCTACCTGCTCATTTCCCCAGAGCCGCCAGGGAGGCGGCCACGGAACACCGCCCCCTCCCTACAGCAGGCGTGGACGGAACCGTCGCGCCCAAATTACGTCTCCATCCAAATGCCGGAAGTCCCGCCCCAAGCTTCGCGACCCACAGGAAACGCCGCTGTCCTGGACTATCATTGGCCCCAGGGCCCGCCGTCGCACCTGGCAATGCCTTCTAGTTAATGTAGTTCATGTTCTAGTTAATGTTCTCAACAAACCACCTGCAAAGCGGACCGATCCTGAGCCGGCAGACCTCAGTGTAAAAGCCGCAGCGGGCCTACAGCTCAGGCCTGCCTGTGTCCTGGGGGCACAACTCGGAGGCCAGGGGCCAAGCGTGAGACCGTCCATTCTTCGCCGGAGGAAATCGAGCCCCAGCAGGCAGGGACATTTGTCAGGGTCAGGGCCAGTGCAGAGACCCTGGACCAGGCTCCGGACCCTGACTTCCACCTTGCGTTATCTCCCCTCCGGATCCTCTTATACAGATCAGTGGGCAGTCAGAGTAACCAAAGGGGGACGTCAGGCGGGGCGATGCGGCCGGCCTGGAATCCCAGCGCCTTGGGAGGCCAAGGCGGGCGGATAGCTTGAGCAACGTAGGGAGACTACCAAAAAAAAATTTTTTTTTTTTTTTTTTAAATAGCTGCGTGTGCTGGCGCACACCTGTGGTCCCAGGAGGCTGAGGCAAGGGGATCGCTTGAGGATAGGAGTTTGAGACCTGTCTCCGCGACAGAGCGAGACCTCATTGGTACAAAAAAAAAAAAAAAAAAAAGGTAGGCCGGGCGCGGTGGCTCACGCCTGTAATCCCAGCACTTTGGGAGGCCGAGGAGGGTGGATCACGAGGTCATCCTGGCTAACACGGTGAAACCCCGTCTCTACTAAAAATGCAAAAAATTAGCCGGGCGTGGTGGCAGGCACCTGTAGTCCCAGCTACTCGGGAGGCTGAGGCAGGAGAATGGTGTGAACCCCGGAGGCAGAGACTGCAGTGAGCCGAGATCATGCCACTGCACTCCAGCCTGGGTGAGAGAGCAAGACTCCGCCTCAAAAAAAAGAAAAAAGAAAAAAAGAATTATACAAAACTTTAGTAGTCTCCATTGGTGACTGCTTTTTTTTTTTTTCTTCTCATGACTATGAAGGTTAGAGAATAAAATCCAGCTTTCAATGATTTGACAAATACATTATGGTTATGAAAATGGAAACAGGGTATACAGAAAATGCCCTCCAGAGATTTAAAAGTGCAGAAAGTATCATGACAGGATGTTAACTGGGTGGAAATGGAGATGGAATCAATTTTCTAGAAGGTATTATTTATAAATTGAAATTATTGAGCGATGTGGCTTAATTAGCATATAAGCTGTTAACACTGTTATCCATTACTGACAATACTATTTCGCCCAATTTAGAAGAGAGTCATAATTCTCCTTTTCACATATGTATGACCCTTAGGTTAGTTTTGGCTTTGGATGCAGAACAGATATTAAAGTTAATATGTTTATATTCCATCATGGAATGTCTGGGATCAGTGCAGGTGAGGAAAGCTATGTAGATACTGGTGACAATTTGTTTTTTTTTTTTTTGAGACAGAGTCTCACTCTGTTGCCCAGGCTGGAGTGCAGTGGCACGTAGCTGGGACTACAGGCCCGACCCACCATGGTCAGCTAATTTTTGCATTTTTTTAGTCGAGACGGGTTTTTACCATGTTGGTCAGGCTGGTCTCGAACTCCTGACCTCGAATGTTGATCTGCCTGCCTCGGCCTCCCAGATTGCTGGGATTACAGGTATGAGCCACCACACCTGGCCTGGAGACACTTTTAAATCCCTCATGTAAGGCATGTCAGTGTCTTCTTTATTTAAACATATATCATCTGGTGATCAGTGCTGAGGCCCTAGTGATTTTTCTATCCTTACCTGCCAAAAATGTGCCCAGTGATGTGTTTATCCAGCACCTAAAATGTATAAATAGCAGAGTTTATATGTATGTACCAGTTAATTTATTAGGAATTGCCAAGTGTTTGAAATGTTAATTCAGGAAAACTGATAGGATAAAGCAAAGCATAGAGGTAAGCACTGTGTCTCCTCATGCAGGTAAAAGAAAGAAAAAAAAGAGAGGCAAATACTGAAGGTGCAGGTTAAAAACCATGAACCAATGTCTTGGAGTATTTAACTTATAAATCTGCAATAGTGGGAGCTGCTCATCTAAGTGAAGTAGCTGAATTATTTATACTTACGTTAGTGGGTCTGGTCATAACAGAAATCATGCCTGCAACTGCTGGACATTTCACAATGAGGAACCTTTGTAGGAGTAACATTAACAAGGCAAACTCCATATAAAGTGCTTAACAACTAAAGTTAGGAGAAATACTGGTGTAACTGACTGCATTGATCAAAAAACGTATTTGAGCTTACAGCTGAGTAGTTTAGATGCTTACTGTGGTAGTCAGTTTATAATGGGTGCAGGGAGCAGCTGACACATGAAACCATCACAGAAGGTTACAGAAGGCTGGAAGGCTACTCCCCAAACTGCAGCATGCAGTAATTTCAAAAGAGGTGATGTTATATTTATTATGAGGAATGACTTAATTTTTTTTTTTTTTTTTGAGACAGAGTCTTGCTCTGTCGCCCAGGCTGGAGTGCAGTGGCCGGATCTCAGCTCACTGCAAGCTCCGCCTCCCGGGTTCACGCCATTCTCCTGCCTCAGCCTCCCGAGTAGCTGGGACTACAGGCGCCCGCCACCTCGCCCGGCTAGTTTTTGTATTTTTTAGTAGAGACGGGGTTTCACCGGGTTAGCCAGGATAGTCTCGATCTCTTGACCTCGTGATCCGCCCGTCTCGGCCTCCCAAAGTGCTGGGATTACAGGCTTGAGCCACCATGCCCGGCCAAGGAATGACTTATTCTAATATAATCAGAGTATGACACAACACAGAGGTGCTAATGTATTCATTTGAGAATTGGGTTGCACTGATGTTCAGTGAAATATTTTATTTCTAAAACAGCAGCATATTGATGTCCATAAAAAGAGAGTGGATCTTTCGGTTGATGACAGTCTTGTTTTACAAATGGCATACTCCTGAAAACATGGAGAATAATAAGTTGGATCAAGGAGCCACTGTGATAGGTGGCAGGTTATGTACCCTCAAGGCATTTATCTGCAGAAAGTAGGCAAGAGTTTTCTTTTTTTTTTGATACGGTGTCTCACTCTGTCTCCCATGCTGGAGTCCAATGGCACGATCTTGGCTCACTGTAGCCTCTACCTACCTCTACCTACCGGGTTCAAGTGATTCTCATGTCTCAGCCTCATGAGTAGCTGGGATTATAGGTGCCCGCCACAACGCCCTGCTAATTTTTGTATTTTTAGTAGAGACACGGTTTTACCATGTTGGCCAGGTTGGCCTCAAACTTCTGACCTCGTGTTCCACCTGCCTCGGCCTTCCAAACTGCTGGAATTACAGGCGTGAGCCACCATGCCCGACCTGAAAGTAGGCAAGAGTTTTCAAGGAGAAGGAAGTCACCATCTCCAGAGGTGGAAGGTGGGGGTAGCAGGGAGAGCCACCTTGGGCAGCTCTCACGGGAAAGAGTTCCCACAAGAAATATTCTACCCAGTCTCATACTAATTCACACAACTATGAAGAGCTGGTTCGAAATGGTTCAGCTTTTATTAATTAGCATCTTACATCTTAAAAGAAAAAAAATAAAGACAAATGAGGTGGCAGAGCCAAGAGAGCTCCCTGAACACACACGAAGGAACAGAGGCAGACAGGGCTCAGGAAGCCATCTGAGCACAGGGAGGCAGCACCCTTCGGGAGTGGACCTGAACCCAGGGGTGCTTCAGGATCTCGGCCAGGGGCAGTCGCTCCAAGGGCTGGTATCTGAGAAGCTTGGAAATCAAGTCCCGGGCCCCCAAAGGCATTGATGGTGGAAACCTCACATCTACCTGATGAGGCCAGGAAAGAAGAAAGAGAAGTCTGGTTAATTTCTTTGGTCAATGTTCTCCCTCTTCTTTGAGCCTTGTTAAGGCGTTGTTCTGGACCACAGCAGACAACCCTGTGTGTGTGCCCCAGTTCCCACAGCCCAGCAGCCATCACAGACCAGTTCCCCCATGAATGCCCAACGGTGACTGTCCCACCTTGAGGATGCGTCTGTAAGTCTCGCTGTGGGAGGTGCTCTCAAAGGGTGGATATCCCACCAGCAGCTCATAGCAGAGCACTCCAATGCACCACAAATCCACCTTTTCATCATATGTTCTCCCCTCAATCATTTCTGGGGGCAAGTAGTCCAGTGTCCCACACATCGTCTTTCTCCTAGAGGAAGGCAGAAAAGGGAGTAAGTACGAAGCAGAGGCCCAGGATGAGGGAAATTCTCCTTCCCCAGCTTTCATGGAGATGTGGAGACCCTAGGACAGCCTGGAAAGTCTCCCAAGCACAGGAGTTTGGAGAGACAAATTTTTAATATGGATCAAGGTTCAGAGAAGGTAAGTACTGGGACGGACTATTCATAAATCCATATTTTGGAAGTACAGTGATTTAGCTCATGCTCCACAATGTTTTCACAGAATAGTCTCAGCATTAAGAAAGATCTAGAACAAACTGATGGTGATGGTGTATCAATGAGAACCAAGTAAATAAATTATGG